TCGCGACGAGCCCAACACCCGATGGCTGGGTGAATCACCGCGTCATCTTTCCAGGATATCACAGGGTAGGTCACGACGTCACAAGCAGTAGGCCACACCACCTTGTTCTCTTTGTCCAATTTGCAGCGCCTGCCATCTCTGGATGCCGTAGACTGCCAGTGGACGATGTTCACAGTTGGAGGCCGCGCCACCAGAGACAACTGCCACGGGTGAGCCCCGCCCAAGGCGACGTGCTGCTTCGCAAGCTCCGCATTGTTAAGGACTCGTAGGCTCTCGGCGAGCCCGCGGCTCAGAATCCGCGGGAGATCATCTTTGCTGACCATGTCGCAGAACAAGCGCTCATCCTCGGAGTCAATGCCGCCGTCGCCAGGGCCGCAACCGTCGGGGCCCAATCCACCAGCAGCTCGTTCCAGATACACTCCGCGGACGACGTCGTCGATGGTTTCCTCCAAGTCGGCAGACTTCTCGACTAGAGCTTCTGCTCGCTCTCGAGCTTGTCCAGCGCCATCCCCACTGCCAAACAAAATCTCGTCGTTGGCTGAAGCCTGGTCCAGGCCCGCGTTAATCACGGCCTCGGTCAGGGTGATCTTCTCCCAGCGCTCGACCCCGTCCTGCTCGATCTCCTCCCCGTCCAGGGCTGCCCACTTCTCGGCTAATTCACCATCTTCGTCGACGATGCCCGCCGACTCGGTCAGAAACGACCGCGCCAACTCGTCCAACAACTCCGCGTCGTAGTCCAGGTGCCCATCGCCGTCCACCCGGATGCCGCGGGCAGCAGCATCGTCGATTGGGGGCGCGTCGGGCTTCGCCCCAGGGCCATGGCCGCCCTCGCCATCGCCGCTCTCTCCTTCGGGACGGGGTCTCGGTCTCGGCATTCTCCTCTTGGGCTCATGGAATGACAGGTTCATGATCACGTTGCCCCTCTGCGCCACCGTCGCGAAAATCACCTGCTTGTCGTCGCCGTCAATGTCCGGGGAGGCTAGCGCCACCATCCACTTCAGCGCATGTACAGTAGCTGCTCTGGAACCTGCTTTTCTGACCTGGATCTCTTCGAAGAAAGGCTTGATCAACTCATCCGAACCCTTGATCACGATGGGAAGGACAATCTTGGCTAACAGGTCGTCCCCGCTCATGAACGTTTCGAGCTTCACCCACCATCGCATATGGTTATTTCTAGCAGAAGCGATCCACAACGTTGCGCCAGCATTGATTGACAAAGTTCTTCGACCAGCCTTGTTGTGGAAACACAGTCCACGAAGCGGGTCCACTCCATTGAACTCGCGGCCCAGAATGAGCTGAAATATTGAAGCCCACTTGACCTCAGGAGTAATTTGCAGAGACGGCATGCAGTCCATATACCTCGCGTTGACCTCGCCGACTGGTGGGAGTTCAACGTCAGGCGCAGGCCCGAAACGAACACTATCTCCAGACACAGAACTTGACCTGTCGATGAACTCTCTCATCTCTGTGAGCACTGCATCGGCAATAGGTCTCAAAGCGGACCACCGCAACGATATCCCCCGAGCTCCTAGCCCCAACCTCTTCTTGATCTGGGCCCGGGCACTCAATAGGGGCAGCCCGCGCGCAGCAGATTGCTCCATTAGACTTCTCAAGAGGCTGTTGTACCCCTCATTGCAGCGAATATCTGCCTTCTCGGGAGGGCCGCACAAGTACGTTTATGCGCGATGCCAGCGCGTGGCACCCACAGCGCGCGGCATCTTCACGCAACACCAATCCCTTGCAAGCACTGTTGGAGGAACGGAGGCACGGAGGGGCGGGCGGGCGGGAAGGAGGGGGGAGGCATTGCTCTCAGAAATACTAGCGCACTCCTCACATGGATCGGGCCTCGGCCTGGGTGTTTTGCCTGGGGCCCCTGGGAAGCCATGGGCTCGCGGGAATGCGCTGGGCCTCTTGGACTCCGAGGAACGCGAAGGGCCCCAGGGAACCGCTGGGCCCTTCGTTAATTTCGGCGCACCCCTCACGTGCATCGCGTGATCTGGTGGGAAAGATCCGAAATCCACGTGGGCGATATTGACCGTTGTCTTGGCGGGCCCAGGGAACTCGTTGGGGCTTTCTCTGGTGGCTTCTGAAGTGGCGTCCAGGACCCCCCCCCTCTTCTCCCCCGGTTTTCTCCCCTGGCCCCCTATTCAACCTCGCTGGCCTCTTTGCCCGCGCGAGCCTTGAACCTGGCACGAAGCGGCACCAGCGCCGCGAACAGCTCCGACGTGGTCTCCCCGGTCTGGCAGGCCAGCTCAAACCCAGCCCGGAACAGATGCTTGAGTTTGAGCGTCGACGCGCCCAGCGTTCGGTCGCCCCGATTCATCAGGTCCAGCGCGACGCCTTTGGGGGGGGGCGGCGAGAGGCGAGGGCGCGGAATAGAGAAGAGGAGGAGGTGGTGGAGGAGGAGGGGGAAAGGAAGAGCGGAGAGAGGGAGGATGTAAAGAGACATGGCGAGTGAGAGGACGGGGGAGGAAGGGGAGAAGAGGAGAAGGAGAGAGAGAGAGAGAGAGAGAGAGAGAGAGAGAGAGAGAGAGAGAGAGAGAGAGAGAGAGAGAGAGAGAGAGAGAGAGAGAGAGAGAGAGAGAGAAGAGAGAGAGAGAGAGAGAGAGAGAGAGAGAGAGAGAGAGAGAGAGAGAGAGAGAGAGAGAGAGAGAGAGGAGAGAGAGAGAGAGAGAGAGAGAGAGAAACACAAAAGAGAGGAGGAGGAGGGGGAGAAGGAGGAGGAGGAGGAGGAGATGAGGAGGAGGAGGAGGAGATGAGGAGGAGCAGGAGGAGGAGGAGGAGGAGGAGGGGGGAGGAGTAAGAGGAGGAGACGAGGAGAACGATGAGGGGGAGGAAGGAATGGAAGGTGATGATTTTCATCCCTCAAGCCTTTCCGAACAGGGCATTCCACCGTGAAGTGGGACTTGGTGAGCAACACGAGCTTGATGGGATACGTGATGTGCTTCTCGTGGATGCGGCGGTGGTAGTTCGCAGCGTGGTGACAGGTCAAGGACACTGCCAAGGCTGCCAGGTGAGTCACCATGTGGCCATACTTCTCGTGGTCCGAATCCATTTGCAGCACTGGCTCTTCGAGCAACCTGAACCTCTCTGGGTGCTCCAGGAGGTCGCCGAATTCGTTGAGGAAGCTCTCTGACTTGCCGTCCGCGAGCTGGAAGAGTTGGTTGCCTTTCTCATCCAACTCTTGGTCCGTATATTTAGTTGACAAAAAAATCATGAAGTGGTCCACTATTTCACTTACCACCGTGTGCACATTCAGGACCGCCCAGAAGACAGGGTCGGTGATGGCGACCTCCACGTCGGACCTCCACCGCCCCATGCGGGATCGATGTTGCGCGAGGGTCTCGTGATTCGGATCGAGGTGGTCGGCCACGGGTAGCACGTCGGCGGGTCGATATGGTCTGTTCTTCTTGCTACTGATGATTTCGACCAATACGGGGGTCAGCCAGCGCTTGCCAATATCATGAAGCTTCTTCTCCGTGGCGTAGGATGATTGCCAGCGGCCTGCGATGCATCTCGGACACAAGGTCCCAGCATGCTGCACCGCGGCCTGCGGCCCGCACTGACGGTTGAATTCTTGGTGGACTGCAGCGGCCTGATCTCGCCAAATCTGAGAGATTTTTGAAAGAGTAGCAAAGTACCGAAGCCTGGAGTTCGGGGCCCACGATTGACACCACGTATCTACGACTTCAAGGGCACTCCTCACGCTCAACTGCGCGCCGTGCATGTGGCAGTTGCCTGGCAGAAATATTACATGCTGGAACCTGCAAGTCACAACTGTGAGTATCTTCTTCAGCCGCTCCTCGTCTGCGCCTCCGTCGGACGTGTGCAAATACAAGCGGATGGACGCAGGCGGCCTGTCGGCGTCAACGTGGTCCGGGTAGCCAACCTCTGCGCTCTCGGCCCACAGCGGGCAGCCTAACCCTTTCAGCTGCTTGTGAAGTAGGTTGTGAGTGCCATGTGCACTCTCGTCTGTAACCCGCAGGCAATCTGCAAAGCCTCGCTTGCTGTCGTAGCACGCAAACCAGGGTTCGGACAGCAGCCGCTGCGAGTCGAGGTAGAATGATTCGAGCTCAGCGCCCATCAACTTGCACCCCCCCCCCCAGAGATTCCGATTCGTCGCGTCCGCGCTCGCGATGTGGGCGCACGCGAACGTGCCAGCGGTTGCATCCTGCCGCTTCTCCTCCTGCCTCGCATGAAAGGCGCGAAACGAGGCGACGAGAGCGGCTGCCCCATCAATCTCACATCGGCGAACAGTTTGGCCGCTGACGTCTTCGCACATGATGGCCCCTATGTTGCACGAGCCAGCGTTGCCTACGTTCCACCTCAAAGACAGGGCGCAGATCCCGTTGGGCGCGAGGTTGCCGACACTGCGGGCCACGATGCTCATGTCAACGCACTGCCTCTTGTACTTCCCATTTCGCTCAAGCGCCCACCTCGCGTGCGGATCCACCTCGGCCACCTCGGGGCCAGCAGGCACTCGACAACCCCAAAACACCCTAACCCCCGATGCGGGGGAAGGGATGGGGATCAGGAGGAGGAGGGGGGGATGGGGGAGGAAGGGCGTCGGAGAGGAGGAGGGGAGGAGGAGAAGGAGGAGGAGGAGGAGGAGGAGGAGGGGGAGGGAGGAGGAGGAGGAGGGGAGAGGAAGAGGAGAGCCGAAGGGGGAGGCAGGGAGTAGGCGAGAGGTAGAAAGGACCAGGAGAAGGAGGTGAAAGCGGGGTTGGCGGGTGTTGTCGCCCGACGGTGCCCAGGGTGAGAAGCTCTCCTCCGTTCCTACCTCCTCCCTCTCTCCTCATTGTCCTCCTCTCCTCCTTTCCTCTCCTCCTCATCCTCCTCCTCCTCCTGTGCACTCACTCGTCCTCCTCCTCCTCCTCCTCCTCCTCACGCTCCCTCCCTTCTCCTCCCTCCTCCTCCTCCTCCTTCTCCTCCTCCTCCTCCTCCTCCTACTCCTTCTCCTCCTCCTCCTCCTCCTGATCCGTTTGGGAAGCAAAAGGGGCCTCCTGCGGCTGCAGTGGGACCAGGGCGCGGCGGGCAGCCGCGGTCTGGCCCGTGGCGCGCTCGGTCCGCAGCAGGCTCTGGACGTGCAGCGCGTGCAGCACCAGCGCGTCCTTGCTGTAGCCCTGTCGCGGGCCGAGGGGGAGGTTCCTCCTCCTCCCCCCCCCCCCCCCCCCCCCCCCCCCCCCCCCCCCCCCCCCCCCCCCACCCCCCCCCCCCCCCCCCCCACCCACCCCCTCCCCCCCCCCCCCCCCCCCCTACCCTCCCTCACTCACCTTCCTCCTCCGCCTTCCTCTCCCGCCTAACTCCTCCGTCCTGAAGGTCCAGGGGCCCGGGGAACGTTTCGAATGAGAACCCGAAGCTGCTGCTCGCTCGGGAGTCCCAGGTACGTGCGCTTCTGGCGCGGGCGTCGGATCGGCTGCACCACGACAGCAGCGCTCTCCCATGGCACTGCTGCCGCTGCTGCCCCCGCCTGGGGGACCAGCGCCATTCCGCCGGGGGCCGTGGCTGGAGCAGACGCCGCCAACATGGATCAGAGGTTTGGCGCTGTAGCCACGCCTGCGTTGTCAGCTAAGCTCAGTCGGCGGGGCGCGGCTGAACCGAGCTCAGCTGACGACGCAGCGCAATCGCGCCAAACCTTTGATATAGCCTGGCAGCGTTTGCTCCAAGCCTTGCTCCCGCCCCCAGGGCAGCCCCAGCGGCGCAAACGGTTTGAGTGGCAACGACGACGAAGACGCGGTGGTGGCGGCGACGGCGACTCCGCCTCTCGCTTGCGGGTCTCAACTGTGTCCCGAATGAAGTTTTCGTGGGGCTGGTCTCTGCGGCGGGGTGGACGGCGCGCTTTCAATGCCCAGGGCGCGTGAAGAAATCACACGGGGTAGGCCGAGAAAGAGGACATCACATAGCAGGGGTTTACAAATTCAGAGACCGAAGCTGCAAAAGTAGTTCGAGGACCCCCGCGCAGAAACACAAACCAGCAGGCGTCGGATAACCCCCGCCAAGGATGCAGCGTGAAATGCGCAGGCAAATCCGCGATAACAACAGCCGCACGCCTGCCAATAATACCTGGGCCCAGTTGCAACATTGAAAAACCGAAGGTGGATGTTTAAAAAACAGTCGGGGTGAATGCGATAATCTCAAAACACGCTCTGTCGGCTTCTAAAGGAATCCTTCTTAAGTACATAGAAAGGGCACCCAGGGCTGGCCCAGCAAAAACAAGCGGGGCCAGCGAAAACAGGCCCTCAGGACGGGGAAGTGGACATCCTAAGTGCTCTACGTGGGTTCGTGGTGTTGAGCAGTCGATTCTGGAGCATCACGGCATCGAGCAACGGTCGGGGCCCAGCAGGAGCACGGGTTGCCGCTTTGTTGTTGAGGAGGTTCGGCAGTCCACCGAGTCACGGCAGGCCCCGCTCCGTGATCAGGTGGCGTGCTGGTGGAAGCGCGTGGCCACAGTTTTGAGCCGGACCTTGAAGCATAGGCGGCGTAAGAACGGTGCCCGCGAGTTAGTCAACATTCAGCATATCTGTCGTCAGCTCGTGCACGCTCGGCCGTCAGGAGTCCACCGTCTACTTCGACCTGGCCGTGACGCTGGGGGTAAGAAGTGGGTCAAAGCGTTGCTCAATTTAGCCTCGCTCGTCGGTCCCGTTTTGGATTCGTACTGTGATCAAGCCAGTCGGATCGCTCGTCGAGGCCAACGGCGCGCCGTGCACGAGTCCCTGGCGGGATTTCAGGAGTGGGTCGTGCAGCAGGCCGCCGTCGGCCCATTGCACCGCAGCATGAAGGAGGACCCACTGCCATCGCTGGGGCTGTTCGAAAGTTCGGGAGTCACGATTCACCCCAGGGATATCATCGACACCAAGGCTCGGCGTTGGCAGGAGCTCTGGGCTCCACATCCTGTCGATCGAGATCGTATGCAGCGTGCTTTCGAGGCAGCACGTGCAGCAGCGGAGCTCGGGCAGATGGAGCCCATCACTGAGTGGGACATCCGTCGCGCGGCTCACGCCATGAGGGCCACCACAGGCCTAGGCGCAGATCGGATGACGCCGATCGACGTCGAGAGGCTGCCGTCGGAGGCGCTGGTGGAGCTGGCCGAGCTGCTCAACATCATCGCGCGGACGCTGGCGTGGCCGCACCAGACGCAGCTCATCATCGGCAAGCTTTTGCCGAAGAAGCTGAGCGGCGACCGCGTGATCGGCCTGGTGTCGTTTCTCGGTCGACTGTGGTCGCTCATTCGAGAAGGCCATGTTCGGCAATGGTGCAATCTTGTGGAGGCGGATTGGGACGCCGCCATCGCAGGCAATGCATCGCTCCGCGAAGCGTTCCATCGCACTCTGCAGGAGGAAGTGGCGGGGGCCTTGGGGGCCCCCCATGGCCACGGCCTCCTAGATGTGAAAGGATTCTACGATAGTATTGCATGGGATATCTTGACGGATGTGGCATTAAAGTTATCTTTTCCCCCAGTTATACTGTTCTTAGAGTTGTCCCAATGTATGGTTCCCAGAGTGGTTGAACAAATGGGAGCGGTTAGTGAACCCTTCTTGGCTGCATGCAGTATTATACAAGGGTTAAGATCTGGAGCCCGATTTGCGAAGTGTATGACCCATTATGCAATGGCCAAAATCAGTTGCTCCCATCAAGGTGTGTCGCACCGTCTCTGGATTGATGACTTGTCGCAAAGTTTAGCTGGTTCCCGTCAAAAGATTGCTTCGTCACTCTCAGCGTGTTTAGCTGACGCCGCGGATGAGCTGAAAAAGATGAAGTTGCAGATTGCGGCCAAGTCTTGTGTGGTCTGCTCTCATCATGGCGATGCGAAGGAGATCGTCCGACGTCTGCGGCGCCGAGGCTTCACTGTCCAAGCCAACTTACAGGCAGGGTTTCTTGGCGTTGACTTGGGCGGAGGCAGGAGGACGGCCAGAGAAGTACGGACCAAGCGGGGGCTCAAGCAGAAGAAGCTCCATGCGAAGGTCGTGCGTTTCGCCGGGGCGTCCAAGCGCTACAGGGTGACGTCTAAGCTCGAGCGCCTGGGTGCTCAAACAGCAGGTACGTACGGGCAGGCCATCCACGGCGCGTATGGGCAGAAGCTCCAGCAGTGCCGACGTGGGCTTGCAGCAGTCAGTAGTGCGGGAGGTGGGGGAGTTTGTATCACTTCTCTTCTGTCAATTCGGGCCCCTGGCCAGGGCCCAGGGGTTAAACTCCCCCATGATGTTATCGCGTTGTGGCTGCAGCAGTGGTTTGCTCACCCTCACATCCGCCCATCGGTGTACCGTGCATGGCCGATGGTGCTTCAGCGGATGGAGGCTATGCCACCGTCTCGTCGTTCCAGATGGGCAAGAGGGCCGATGTCCGCAGTCATCCTCACGTTGTTGGAGCGTGGCTGGCATCCTGAGACCCCCACCAAGTGGCATCTGTCTGACGAGATCGTGTGGGATTTCCCCGAAGCCTTTTATCACGAGCAGCCTGCACTCAACAATGTGAAGGCCTTTTTCGATGATTTTGACCAATCCGCAGCAGCACAATATTGGCAGCATGCGTCACGGCATTTCTGTGGTAGTGGATTGCAAGGTGGAGTAGACAATGTTTCTTTGGGGTGGCTGCTCAAATATCTTGAAGCTTTTCCTCGAGGAAGGAGGTTGGCGGAGGTCATAGTCTCCATCTGTGCTGGAGGATCGTGGCCGCGCGAGCGTCGAGCAGCCGCCACCACCAAGCAACAGATATGCCCCATGTGTCCTCGGTGCCGTCAAGAGGTTGAGTCGCCTTACCATCGAAGCTGGAGTTGCGAGAAGAATGTTGAAGCCGAAGCATATCGTCGGTCTGGCGACCTGCTTCCAGCCGCTGCAGCTCAACATGAATGTGATCAGGCGTTCTGGCTGCGTGGGTTGATTCCCCAAAGTTGGACGACGGTCACTCCCCCGTGTGCGGAAGAAGCATGGATCGGCAGTGTAATGTTTCGTAATGAAGTTGTTGACGACGCAGCAGGACCAGGCGCGCCCTCCCAGCCAGTTGTGTTCTTTGGTGATGCCTCGGGAGGGCCTGACTCCAGGGATCCACGCTTTCGGCGAGTGGGCTGCGGCCTGGTCTTAGTCAACAGCGAGCAGGATCTCACCATCCAGGGTGTCATCATGGGGCCGTTGCCAGGCACTCAGACAGTCCCCAGAGGAGAACTGTATATGCTGTGGATGGCCATACGTGTTTCAATGGACCACCTTGTTTATATCACGGACAATCAGGCTGTGTACCATGGGTGGTACGACAAAATATGTTTGAATCCAAGTGGTGAATCTGCTGAATTGTGGGCTCGTATCGGAGAAGAGCTGCGACGTCGGCCTCCAGAGCATATCATTGTACTCTTTGTCAATTCACATATGTCGGCTGCTGAGGCAGTAGCTGCAGGAGTTCCGAGTTGGTTAGTATGTGGGAATGCCATGGCTGATGTTGCTGCTGGAGAGGCGGCGAAACTGGCCAGGTTGCCCCAGGGAGATCGAGCCCGTGTGGCACAGGTGGAGCAGCGGGCCTTCCTGGTACGCATGCGGTTGCTACGAGCGGCCATCGACGCGATGGCGGCCGAGGAGGCTCTCGCGAGGGCCCAGAAGGACTGCCGCAGAGGGGCGATGAGTGAGGGAGGGTTCCTTTCTCCTCCTCCTCCTCCTCCTCCCCCTCCACCTCCTGTGCAGCTTTGCTTGCCGCCGCCGTGCCCCGAGGCTGTGTCCATCCTGTCCAGTTCGCACGCCCTGGACGAATCGGGGCGTCGGTGCCGCAGATGTCGTGGCTCTGCGTCGATCTCCGAACGGAGAGTGTGGAGAGCGTCGCCGTGTTTCAAGCTTGTGGCTCTGGACTGTGCGTTGAGAACCCTTCCCCAGGGGGCGGAGTTGCACATCGCTGGGGGGTGGGTGCACGGGTCTCACAAGCTAAGATATCATCAGGATGTCGATGTGTGGTTTTGTGCTGTGTGTGGCATGTTTGCTGATCAGCAGCTGCTTGGGTTGGGGAAGCAATGCGTGTATAAAACCACCCCGACTCGAGCTGGCTATTTAGCTAGAATCCGTGATTCGTTGTGGCCCAAGGCCTTTACGGCCGCTCAGAGGGCCAAGAGAGCCCTGAAGGGGCTCCCCGTTTAAGGCGTCAGGGAAGTGGACATCGTCCAGGGACTCTTACTCTTACTCTTACTCCTCCTCCTCCTCTCTCTGACTCCTTGTTCTCCTTTTCCTACTACGCAATTACACAACATGCATACTACTTTGCTCTCTCCCCTGACTCTGTCTGGAATGTCTCCCGCCCTCTCTGCGCTTTTCTACACAGAAGATGTCATTATTTGTTTTTGTTCCTATGGGTTGTTTCAATATGGTCGTTTATGGTTCCTCCAACATGGTGCTCCCGCTGCAGCGCCGCCCTCACTTCCGCGCTTCGGTCAGTCGTGCTCCCGCTGCAGCGCTGGCCTCGTCCCTGCGCCTCTGGACGGCACTTGGCATTCGAAAGCGCCCACATCGGGCAGGCACGGTTGCGGAGGACATGGAGCCCGCATTCCGGACAGGCCGTCCTCTCGTAGACGGGCCACTTACCCTCCAAGTCATCCAGTGCCATGCCACGGAATGCAATGCGATGCTGTGTTGTGCACCTCTGCGCGATGCCATACTTTGCGCTGCTATGCTTTATGATGCAATGCTTCACTACACAATGCAACGCCATGCTATGACATGCTGTGTTCTGCCGTGCTCTGCTACGCCATGCTTTTCCACCTATCGCGTAACTACCCTCTTGGGATCATTGACCTGCTCGACATCCGACTGTGCGAGTAGATACGAGATCTACGCCATGGCAAGGGATGGGAGGGAGGGGTAGGACGTCGGATGTGACACTGGCGCACCTAGCTTATCTGCACCCCTCCTCCTCCTCCCCCTCCTCCCCCTACAACCTCTCGCCCCATCTTGCTAGGGGGCAGGACAAGATGGCCCCTGTCGAATGATGAGGCGCGCGGACAAGCTGGCGCATCCTGGACTTCTATCTCCCTGACGAAGCCCTCCCGCCAGGACCTTCGTTCAAAACGATCACTAGCGGCACTCGTGATCCCCGAGAACCGCCAATAACTGTCCGAGGACCGCCGAGGACCCCTGAGCAGCGCCAAGAAGCGCGGCGAGCGTGCCGCAAACGAAGGCATCATCATGATTGAGCGCAGCGTTGAACCGCCCCCCTCCCGCTTTGGCTGTTCCTGCCCCCACCATCCAATCCTCCCCCGTCTACCCTCTCCTTCCCGACTCCTTCCTCCTCCCCTGGTTCCTCCCTCCCCTTCCGGACTCCTTCCTCCTCCCTGACGCCCTCCTCCCTGACTCCCTCCTGCTCCTCCTGCTCCTCCTGCTCCTCCTCCTCCTCCTCCTGCTCCTCCTCCTCCTCCTGCTCCTCCTCCTCCTCCTCCTCCTCTGCTCCTCCTCCTGCTCCTCCTCCTCCTCGTCCGCGTCCTCGTCCTCCTCCTCCTCCTCCTCCTCCTCGTCCTCGTTCTCGTCGTCCTCGTCGTCCTCGTCGTCCTCGTCGTCCTCATCGTCCTGCTCCTGCTCCTGCTCCTGCTCCTCCTCCTCCTCCTCCTCCTCCTCCTCCTCTTCCTCCCCGGCCGCTTTTCGCCGCGGCAGGTCCCAGGAGGCCCGTAGAACATCGCGTGCTGCAGCGGCATCCGCCGCGCTTTGGCCGATCGCGTGGCGTCCGCAAGGCGCATCACCTCCGCGGTCTGCCTCCTCGCTCCTCCGTTCCCCCTCCGTCCTGCATACCCCCCCCTCCTCCTCCTCCTCCTCATCCTCCTCCTCCTCCTCCTCCTCCTCCTCCTCCTCCTTTCTGGTCCCTCCTCCTGCTCCTCCTCCTCCTTTCTGGTCCCGCCGCCGCCTCATCCTCCTCCCTCCCACTTCTCCTCTTCCTCCACTCCCCCTCCAATCAATCCCATCACTCTTCCCCCTCCCCTGACCCTCCCGCCCCTGCGCGTCCCCTATTTGCCCCCCTCCCCCCCGCCCCCCCGCGTCCCTCCTCATCCACTCCCCTGCTGACCGCGCCCGCGCTCCCGAGCCAAGGGAGGCCTGCTGGTGAAGCCTGGGGTGCAGCACCACGTCGTCAAACTCGGAGCCATGCCTGGCTGGGCCGGGCCGGCCCGCGACCAGCTCTAGGTCCAGGAGGGGGGCTGCTCCTCCTCGACCCCACCCCCCATCCCCCATCCCCTACCTCTCCTCCTGCTCGACACTCCCCCTTCTCCTCCACCTCCGCCTCCTCCTCCTCTCCTCCTCCCTCTCCTCCCCTCCTCCTCCCTCCTCCTCCTCCTCCTCCTCCTCCTCCCCTTCCTCCTTCTCCTCCCCCTCCCCCTCCCCCTCCCCCTCCCCCTCCTCCTCCTCCTCCTCCTCCTCCTCCTCCTCCTAATCTTCCTCATGGTGCTCATCCTCCTGCCGATCCTCCCCGCGAGCATGCAGGCCATATAGCTGTCTGCTCCTCAAGACAAGCGTCTGAAATGCTGGGGCCAAATGTTCTCCAGAACGAGAACGAACACCCGATTTCAGTCCACGAGAATGCCTGCAACCAACCTTTGACAGGCGTGAGTTTCGCCATGGGCTCCACCACGCCGCAGTCTGTCTATCAAGTCGCTCGCTGCCCCACTGGATCTGCCATGGGTTGCTCCGCAGCTTGTACCAGGTACCCCGCAGCCGATTATAGTCGGACATAAGCCAGAACAACACTACTCCAGATTTCGTAATAAAAGGGAGGGGGTCTGGCTGGACCCTCCAAGACAAGCCACTTCAGACCCCCCTCGTGGGAGGACCCTCCAAAGCATCGTCCCCAGACCCCCCCCAGGCCCTCCAAGATAGCCTGGAAGAGACCCCCCTCCGAAATGAGACCCCCCTCCCTTTCTTACGAAATCTGGAGTATTCAAGAACTAGGGGGCAAACAAACCTACCTCGCTTTTGACCACCCTCGCTTCCAAGCGATACCAAACGATGCCAAACTACGGCCTGTACTGGTCAGGCCGCTTGACGAGGAGGCGCGTGGTATGACTTGGTTTTGCCTGGAAGCGAAAGCGGGGTAGGTAATTCACGCACTGAAGAACACGAGACCCTCTGTCGGCCAAAACGAGCAGGCAACACGACAGCCTCCCACGAGCACGCAGAACAGCGGGGCCCCCTCCCCGGGTCGACCTCGATCTTCTGCCTCGGGCCGACCGTGCCTCGTCCATTTCCCCGGTGGGTCTGCCATCGACTGCGCCGCACGCCGCAGGCTGCGCAGGTCGTCGTCGTCGTCGTCGTCGTCGTCGTCGTCGTCGTCGTCGAAGGACGTCGTCGTCGTCGTCGGATGATGAGGGGAAAGGGGCAGCAAAAAGAGGGGAGCTGAGGGGGAGGTGGGTAAGACGGAGAGCGGCAGCGGACAGGAGGGGAGGGGAGGGGGACGGCGAGAAGAGGGGCGGGGACGGAGGCGGAGGGCCTCCGAGCGGGGGGGGGCAGGGGAGGGAAGGGGACAGTGGGAAAGGGGACGAATTGAAAAGAGGAGGGGGGGGGAGGGGGCAGGGGAGGGAAGGGCAGGAAGGGGGAGGAGGAGGCGGAGGAGGGGGACGAGGAGGAGGAGGAGGAGGAGGAGGAGGAGGAGGAGGAGGAAGATGGCATGAGTACCGGGAGGAAGCGGAGGTAGGGGGGAGGATAGAAAGGGCAAAAGGCACAGGGAAAGGGAACGATGGGAGAAATGGGGAGGATGGGGTGGGGGAGCGAGGAGAGCCGAGCTGCGGCCCCAGAACACACGCGCGCGCGCACATCGCAGAACAGAAGCTGACGAAGTGGCGAAGGGACGAACGCCCCCCTCCTCCCCCCCTCCCCCCCCTTCCTCCCCTGCCCCTGCCCCTGCCCTTGGTCCTCCCCCCTCCGCCCCTGCCGGGGAGAGGGCCGTCGCCTTCCGCGCAGCCGCAGCAGACGAAGCAGCCCAATCCAGGCCTGCACACCGCGGCAGGGGGGCGGGGGGGGGGGGGGGCGATGTCGGACCGCTCGCCGCGCACTGCTGACCCTGTCGCGCGCCCAACTCGATAGCAAGACGGATAGATATGATGGGCCTGCTTTCCACCACCACCACCACCACCACCACCACCACCACCACCACCACCACCACCACCACCACCACCATAAGTTGGAGTGGGAGGGGGTCCTGAGGGGGTCCTCCTCCTCCTCCTTCTCCTCCTCCTCGTCCTCCTCGTCCTCCTCTTCCTCCTCCTCCTTCCCCATCCAACTTTTGGTGGTGGTGGTGGAAAACAGGCCCATCAAGATAGAGAAGTCGACTACGCTGCAGTGCCCTCGAGGTCCTCGCAAGAATGCACCCGACTGGCCGTCGCCACGCGCCGCCAATCTCACCTCGGTTCCACCGCGAAGTGGGGAACGGCTGCTCGAAGGTAAGGCCCCTCCCGACGTCCCCTGCCAGGCCGTAGCAGTGCAAGCCCAAAGAGCACGACTCCCAAACGAAACCCTGGCTGGCAGTGCCTAGCAGCGCTGTGCCCGACTTGTCCGTGCGGCTTGCCATCGGCGTTCCGAGGAGCGCGGCGACCGACAGGCCAAGGATCAGGCCCCCGAAGCCGGCGAAGAACGTCAAGAGGGACACGAATCTCCGCTTGGGGCCTCTTGCAGGCCTCCTGGGAGCCACTTGGAGCCTCCTGAGGGCCTCAAGGGGCGGAGAGCTCGAAATGTCGGTTCGTGTTCCCCCTCTGGGTTCCCTCTTGAGGCGTTCTTGGGGCCCTCTTGGGCTGCCTTGGGGGCCGCTCCTCCGTCGTCGCGAGTGCGTCGCACGCCGCGTCGGAGAGCGTCGACACCATGCGGTGCAAGACCGTGAAGAGGCGCCACGCCGCAACGAAGAATCGGCTCCGGCACGACAGGGCGCCACGGCTGGGCGAGCACGACGGCGACCATGGCCACCACTTGGGGCCACCGCCGTCGCCACGAGGAGGCGGTGCCAGGGGCCCGTGCCGAAGCACTCCGACCTGACCAGCGGCAGGGCGGGCGCCCTCCCCACGAAATCCGACGCCGGCTTGGCCGAAGCCAGGGACCGCGTGTGCGCGGGGTTCCCGCAGGAGCCGGCCAGCGACACGATGGAACGACATCAGCGCCATCGTGAGGCACTTTGTGGCCTGCCAGATGTACATGAAGGGGCCCCAGGACACACAAATAAATACACACAAATAAAAAGATTCCCCATATTTTCTTATATTTTCTGAGTTTTTGTCTTCCCCCCCACTTCCCATGTTTTCCCATATTTTCTGGGGGATCGACGATTAATTGTGTCTGTGTGTTTTTTCCTCTCCTGAGTACACCCAGCCGGGGATGGCGAGCCCCGGGTGACGAGCTCAGTTGTTTCCAGGGCGTGCTCCAGCTGCGATGGTCAACTGGGGTCGGCCCAAGGCGATGGTGATGATCGCAGCTTCCCCCACCGTGGACGATGGTCTTGGCACTGCAGATGGCAAATGTGGAAATCTTGCACAGGATCGTGGCCGACCTCATCATGCTCAACAGTCAAAGCGCCCCATGGCTGGTAGGTGTCGACTGGAACATGGACTGCCCCGAGCTGAACGAGTGGTTCCATGCAACTGACGGGTTGAGCATTTCGTCATCGACGCCGTCTTGCGTGCAGAATGTGGCTCGTACGGTCCGCGATTGTTTCTATGCATCGAGAGATCGGTCCCTGTGTGGTGGCGACATCAGCGTTGACGAAGGGACCGACCTGTCCTCTCACCGCCCCGTGCGCCTGGGGGTCGAGACGACGGCTCGAAACATGTGTCGACGTGTGCCCCGTGAACCCAAGCAACTGAACGTCTCACCGAAGATTTGTTGTACCAAGTTCCTGCCTGGTTCGGAGTGGGTCATGATTCAAAATCCGTTGGGAGACGCTACTTGCATGGTTGGGTGTTGGGATTCTGTCATGGCTGGCTTTGAATGTGAGCTGCGCGACCGCTACGGCGTGATGGACCCTGCGCAGAGGCGACAGTTTTGTGGACGCTCAGGGCCGCCTGCCGTCGAGTGGCGAGATGCCAAAGCAAACCCAGATGGTACTCCAGATTTCGTAAGAAAGGGAGGGGGGTCTCATTTCGGGGGGGGGTCTCTTCCAGGCTATCTTGGAGGGCCTGGGGGGGGTCTGGGGACGATGTTTTGGAGGGTTCTCCCACGGGGGGAGGTCTGAAATGGCCTGTCTTGGAGGGTCCAGACCCCCTCCCCTTTTATTACGAGATCTGGAGTACCCCAAACGATGTGCAAGCCTGGCGTCCTCTCGGCCGATGCCTTCGATGGCTCCGCGCCGTGAGGACCACTATCCTATCGCCGGCGGCCCGCGCCGGGCCCGACGCCCGCGCGCTCGCCCGGGCGCGGGCCGCCGGCCCGTGCGCCGGCCCGCGCCCTGTCCTGGCCAGCATCAACGATCGGCATGATGACTACTCCAGATCTCGTAATAAAAGGGATAGGATAGGATAGGATAGTGGTCTTCACGGCGCGGAACCATCGAAAGCATCGGCCGAGAAGACGCCAGGCTTGCACATCGTTTGGGGTACTCCAGATCTCGTAATAAAGGGGAGGGGGTCTGGACCCTCCAAGACAAGCCATTTCAGACCTCCCCCGTGGGAGAGCCCTCCAAAGCATCGTCCCCAGACCCCCCCAGGCCCTCCAAGATCGCCTGGAAGAGACCCCCCCCGAAATGAGACCCCCCTCCCTTTATTACGAAATCTGGAGTATGTTATGGTGGTCTTGGACAGCTCCGAACAATGTTGCAACCTCACTGGCTTTGCTGCTCGGATCGCCAAATGCACGTGGGTTCTGGGCACGGTATCGCCTAGAGCTCGTGATTGCATGTGCAACTTTGCCGACGGCTTCGGCATCAGTAGATACGATGATGCAGGTCCCGTGGAGATGTTGGATGCTGAGGAGCTGAGGAGTAGCGCCCAAAAGTCCAACGAGGAGTGGCAGGCCTGGGCTGCGACGGCGCTCTTGAAAGGTGCTGGCGCGGCTCATCGTTTCTCGCGCACCACGGAGCTGCAGGAAACGCTCGAATACACGGAACATTTCCAGCCTTACCAGATGGCACATGACTGCATGATGGAGCGGGATTCGATACGGAAAATGCACGGCTGACGCCAAGTTCCCCTGACGGTAGGTGCCGACCGCCAGGGGCCGCCTCCTGAGATCACTTTGGAGGTGGTTCGTAAGGCTGCGCTTTCTTTCCCGAGAAGACATGGTCGCCATGTCCCTGGTAGCCTGGTCCACCATAGCCCTCCTCCTGTCCCCCTATGAATGCATCCTCTCCTGGCCCCTGCCCAGGACTCCAACTGATTAGGCTGGTCCGACTGGCCAAACCCTCTGGACTAATTGCATTGGTGAACTCCCTGGTCCGCGTTTCTGGGGAAGAGTGAAGACACCTGCTTCCCAGGCCTGGGAGCGTGCCTATCGGGACGTCTCGTGCTGGGGGAATGGCCCTGGGGCCAGCTCCTCAGACGCGGCTTTTGACAATATGTGAGGGCGGAGGCGGCTACGGTGGCGGGGGAACACTCGACTCCTGAAGGCGTTTATGAGCGCAGAGCGGAGTTTGGGACAATGGTGTCTCTGAGGACGGTGAGCAGGTCTGGGATTCAGTGGAGCTGCTGTACGGGCTCCCCCAGGCCCCCGTGGTACTCAATCCTGTCCCCACGTGCACGCAGGGCGCGGCTGAAGCGCCATGGGACGGACCGTCTACGCCGACGGCCCAGGGCTAGCCAGCAACTGCCTTGAGATCCGGTTCGCACAGGCTTCCGCCGCGTTAGCTCAAGCCGCGGTCTCCCTACTCCCCGCTCGCGGGCCCCAGGGGCGAGCCCAAAGACTCTGTTGCGCTGACCGAGAACGAGCTCCGGCATTGGCTCACGGGGAGCCGCAGGAAGTGCGGCCCCTCCCCGTTCCAGGCGTGGGAAGCACAGGCGGTGCTCGCTCTGCGTGAATCCGAAAGCGCCCCTCGCTCCTCGCGATCGGTTGCGCAACGTCTGCGCGCCGTCCTCCTCCTTCTCCTCCTTTTCCTCCTCCTCCTCTTCTTCTTCTTCTTCTTCCTCTTCCTCCTCCTCCTCCTCCTCCTCCTCTTCCTCCTCCTCCGCCTCCTCCTCCTCCTCGACCCAAGCCAACGCGAACTCATGGTCCGCGCCGCAGGCCACTTTCGCCACCGCATGGCCGCAGCCAGAGGCGGTTGGCGCCTCCGAACGACTGAAACTGCCATGCGAATGACAGCACTCGCGAGTGTGTCTCACCCGCGCGAGTGAGGTCCGCCGACCTGAACGCGGCCACAAGGAGCCTCCAGACCTTGCCCACCACGAACCTGGCAGGGGACCTGGCCAGGTTAGAGAGGACTCTGGAGCCCCAGGACCCCGCAGGCGGCCCCTCACAGGCAACAGGAAGTTGAGCAGCCACCTGCGTTCCACCACACCCACACACGCAGCGCACCACGCACCACCCACGCCGCCCCCCATCCACGACCACGTGGAACGGGCGAATGACATTTTTTTTCGGCAACGATGAACCCACGGACCGACGCCGACTATTGGATAGAGACTGGGGAGTCGGCAGGCTGTCCTGCCGCAGGACCGTCCTCGCCCTTTCCTCCTGGGTGAAAAGAAGCCACTGGCACAAACGGAGCCAACACAGCAAGCAAGCGGCCGCCGCTGCTTAGGAGAACGCACGCGCAACAAAATGTGGCTATTTTCCCGCCGGCAGGGGGGGCAGAGAAGCGGGGAGAGCGAGGACGAGGAGGAGACGAGGGGGCGAGGGCGTTGTGCGGACATCCCCAGCGGCCCGAACGGCCACGTATAAAAATTCAAAAGCGCACAACGTCATTCTGGAGGAAATGCGGGAGGGGGAAGAGGGGGGAACGACGACAAGAAAGAGAGGAGGACAAACGGACAGAACGAGTGCCCACACGTCCAGTGTGGAAGTCGCAAGGCGGCAGCCGC